ACATATATATTTTATTATTACTTAAGATTAAAATGTAATTTAATTTTTATTTTTTAATTACAAAAAACAAAGAGATAAAGTTGTAATTTTAAATTGTATTTAAGATATTAAGGTAGTTATATGAAATAGGATTCATATATATATTTTATTAATACTTAAGATTAAGGTGTAATTTAATTTCCTATTTCATATAAGATAAAGTTGTAATTTAGAATTGTATTTAAGATATTAAGGTAGTTATATAAAATAAGATTCACATATGTATTTTATTATTACTTAAGATTAAGATGTAATTTAATTTTTATTTTTTTAATTACAAAAAACAAAAAGATGAAGTTGTAATTTAGAATTGGATGTAAGATAGTTAATTAGTTATATAATCTGTATGTAGTTAAAAAAAAAAATTTAATTATAAATAAATTATACCGCTTGAGCATTCACTGCCACTGTCAACATACCCGGAATAACACCGCCACACGGAGCCGCACAATACCCATCAACAACCCAGGGTTTCCTTTTCGTTCAAGAGCATTAAGGCTCCTCCGCAAGGGGGAAGGGGTGTTGTGAATGCACCTTCAATAGGGTGTCATCAGAGTCAGGTCAGAGTCAGGCAGAAAATGGTGAGCGCGCATGTAAGAGAGGCGCAGGAGATAAACCGGTCGATTCTTACGAGCTTTTTCGAACAACGTGTGCAGTTGAGGGAGATCTTGCAAGAACCTCGTGGTAGCAGAGGCAGTTTTGAAGAAGCGATTGAAGTGAACAAACCAGAAATAAAAAGAATTAAATAAATTTATGATAAGATTAAACGAATTAAATATTTTTAATGAATCTGTGAATATTTATATATAATCAAGAAGGAATTTAGAAATAAAAAGAATTAAATAAATTTATAATTAAATTAAACAAATCAAATATTTTTAATGAATCTGTGAATATTTATATATAATCAAGAAGGAATGTGGTTCGAGTGATTAGGAACTACAACAAATTGATTAACTTTTTTTCTCAAATTTTAGAAAAATTATCGACAATATGGAAAAATTGTATTAAAATAAACTTATATTGATTATATTAAATTAAATTAATTAAATTATTATTAAATTTCCCAAATGCATGTGCATAGCACACCTGCTAAAAATGGAAACAATAGGCATTTTCTTTTGTAAGCATGTCACAAAAGAACAAATAAAATAAGCACTACTTTCGATGACAACTCTGGAAAAACTGGAAATTTTGTTTGTATTTGTAAAACACATAATAAAATTTAAATTGAAAATTAACAAAATGAATAATTCTTTGCAATTATTGGTAAGAAAATTTCATTTTTTAAATGATTGTGAATAAAATTTGTTTTTTTCAGGCTTTTTCTATGTTAACAGAAAAATAACAAAAAATTTTTGAATATTAGTTGTGGTGAACCTGGATCCTTGCACGACTTTAGAGTTTTTAGAAGATCTGATATATACCGACGTGCACAGTTAAATCAGATTGAACTATTTTCTATTTTCATTTATTATTGGAGATACTGCTTATCCGTGTTTAAACTGGCTTCTGCCCCCATTCAAAGCCTATGGAAACTTAGATGAAAACCAAAAAAAATTTAACGAAAAGCATTCCTCTACACGAATGGTAGTAGAAAATGCTTTTGGTCTGCTAAAAAGTCGCTTTCGCAGACTATCAAAGTTTACAGAACAAAGTAATTTGGCTGCAATCACGAACATCGTAGCCAGTGTATGTGTTCTGCACAACATTTGTATAAGTAAGGATGATTTTTGCGAAAACAATGACGAACACAATATTGTGGAAGAAATGGCAGATCAACCAGAATTTTTTGATACTTTAGAGTTGGGTGACTCAATTGATTTAAGTCAAAACCTATTTAATTACTTGTCAAGAGAAAATATTATTTAGATTTAAAAGTAAACATTGAAAATAAAGTACAAACAACAAAATATAGAAAGAAATTGTGTTTATTGAAATTATAAAAAAAATAAATAAATAAAATAATAAACTAAACTAATTATGGGTTTAATGACTTCACAACGGCCTCCAACAGCGACAATTTTTTGCGCTCTATTTCTTGATCAACCCAATTGTTTCTGCTCCACCGTTTTCGTGATGTTACAATATGACTATAAATATGTATATAATTAGAAAAATAGAGTTCCTTAATATTTTTATTTTTAAGTTCTACAATTAGTTACGTTTCACTCATTTTTAAACAGCAAAATAAATTTATTACAATATGTTATATTAAATAACTGCAGTTGGCAGTTGATAATTAAACAGAATTGTATATTATTATTTTTCAAACACAGTTAACAGCTGGCCGTGAACTGGAAATTTCATATGTACTTCCAAAAATCGTTCACAATAGACGAGTTTTTAGTCATGGCAACCATGCAATTTGAGCTGCTTATTAGTTAAGCGGTTTCAAAAAGGTTGGACTAAATAAGCTAGCAGTATTGTTGTTTCATATGTTATTTTTAAAACAAGCGGTTGTTCTTTTGTGATATGCTTACAAAAGAAAACGCCTAATATTAATTTAAAATTAATTCTTAATAGAAAAGAGAAATTGTGCTTAAAGAAATTAATATTGATTCTATTATAGCTAAATTATAAAGTTATATTATATTAAATTATGCATGTGCATAGCACTCCCGCTAAAAATGGAAATAAATATTGTATTAAAATAAATTGTTAAAAGAAAAGAGAAATTGTATTTGAAGAAATTTGTATTGATTCTATTATAGCTAAATTAAAAAGTTGTATTAAATTAAATTAATTAAGTTATTAAGCATTCCAAATACTTGCGCACAGCACACCTGCTAAAAATGAAAATATCTCAATTGTAAAATTATGTTGAACTAACAAATACATAAATAACTGTAAATAAATCAAATTTCTATTAAATATTATATAATATTTATGCTATATAAAATAAAGCATAAAAATTATGCTTTATTATCATGTTTTTGTGGGTCCTGCACTTCGTCACAGAAAATCACATCATCTTAACACATCATCATCACAATACATCTTAATAATCTTAAATCATATCTTAAATGTGTGCTAGCAAACTAAAATCGTTTTTTGATCAGATAACAACGGTGTGTTACGTGCAACTTTCGAAGAATAAATGTTTTGGAATAGCACTTTTCTTATTGCATCGTGACTGACAACAATATTAAATTGCTTCTCCAGATCTAATGCCAATGATCGTAAGGAAATTCAAGAATTTTTATCAATTATTCGCAATACTCTTCTTATATGGCGATCAGACAATGTTTTAATATGGTGGCCTGCTGATTTTAAACTAATACAATCCTCATGTTCTACTCTGTTTATGATATCATAAATTGTTCTTAACCTAATATTAAACATTAGACTTTATTCCTTAGCAGATTTACCGAGGTAGTAATTATAACATACTAACTTAATATTATTTGAATTTGTTCTTTTACCTGTCATATTTAATCACGTGAGTTCTAGTTATTCCTTCACTTAAAACACTCTATTTTATTAAAAAACAAAGAAACTGAACAGTTTTTGCAGAATATTATAACAAACAGAAAAACCCAGACACATCTAATGGTATTCTGTCCGGTTAAAAATAAGAAATTGCAAACACAATGTTGACAAAACAAATTTGGTGTTATTTTTGTTTTTGTGAATTATTTTATTGTTCTAATGATATTTTTGATTAATTTTTAGTTTATTATAAAGAAAAATGTTTAAATTATTTGTAAACTTTTTAATTTTTTTTATTTCAAAATTAAATCATTTTTATTGTGCATTTAATAAACATTTGTAACATTTTTTCGTTTTGTAAACACAATGTTGACAAACTGTATATATACATTATATATACATATACATAAAATCATTAATTTAAGAACTACAATATATGAAAAACTAAACCACTACTATACATCACTTGTAATTATTTAAAATCTTTGTAGTGCATATTATTTAAATATTCAATGCAACTAATTTACACTTTTCAAAAGGGGTAGGGTGTGGTGCCTATGACATACATAAATGCTTAATATTACAAGTCATTGTAGACAAATGTGACATAATTTATTAAATGCACTTTTGTGGAACTGTCTGATTGAAAGCGTGTTTTATTGTCTTAAGGTTTTCGTGTGCATTTGAATCTTTATTATAGTTTCTTTTGAATTAATCTTTTTAGATAAGAAAGTCCCTTTTTCTATTAAATTTTTCATTAATTCATTTATTAGCAATACTTGCGTAAAAAAATACAAACATCATATATGTATATACTTGAAATTTATATGGCGCTGAATGTGGAGGTTATTTTTCAAATAATTGGATTTTTGGTATAAAATGGACAATTTTTAAAAAATAATTGTGAAAAACTGTGCGTGCGATTTTTATGGTTTTAGACTTTTTGAAAAGGAAATTTTCTTGTTGCCTTTTTCTTTAAAGAAAATTAATGCCATTTCTTTGCCGTTTTTGGACACGAGGATATATGATTTTAGTAAAGTGAGCTAAAACAAATACTATTTTTGATCAACTTTTTATGATAAAATTGAAATATGTTATTGAGGTTTTAAAGGTTATATATATGTTATTGAGGTTTTGTGATATATTTTTGAATATTTCTTATTTTTAGCTTAAATTTGGCTAATTTTGACAAATTAATACACTTAGAAAAATTTCGTGTTCTAATTCCGACTTGGTCCTCTCAGCGTCGTTGCTATCTAGGCTCAGGTGGAAAATTTCGTGTGCGAAATCCGGATTGGTCCTCCATGTGTCGTTGCTACCTTGACTCGGGTATTTTTCGTTGAATACATGTAACAGTCTTTAAAGGTTTGTGCATTTGATGACATTTATCAACTTTCAAAACCTACTAAAAATATTGAGTGCTAGTATTATTTATTTCAGTTGATAAATTGGTACACTTATCAAAAATATACATTTTTCTCTACAAAGTAACTAACATTTCCGAAAATTGATTTTTCAAAAAAAATATATAAAATATATACAAAACGCAAATTGTGCTTATATATTTTAGAAAATATTTTAATCATATTTTGCTAACCACTATTTCATCAACTAATTAAAAGGAACAAATTTTTAAAATGAATCGAACAATTTGTGAAAATACGGACATAAAATTTGATAAAACATACGATTTCATTGAAAAGTGTGATGAGTGTAAAAGTCAACAATTCATTGGCAAAGTCAATAACAATATGTGCAATAATAATTCAACTCTAAAAAAAAATTTTCCATTTTGTGAATTTATGCCCAAGCAAAATCCAAGTACACTTATGCGCCAGGAACATCTTTCGAAAATTACAAAAACCGGTGTTTGTGTTGACATTCAGCCGGTTAACCATGATATATCTCAACCTTTAAGGCAACGTTGGTCTCCGGTTGGAGCAAATTGTGATGATACAGTAATCCCAATTTCTGACCTACCCAAATCTGAATCAGAAATGAAACCTTTAAACTCAAATCAAGAAAAAGAAGACGTGTTACATTCTGAACATATCGAAATATCCCGGTTACGTTATTTAGAAGAGGAACAGGAAACACTTACTTCATCATTGATGGCCTTAACATCACATATTGCCCACTTGCAGTTGAGAGTTAGACAAATTGTTGAAGCACCAAGTGATGAACGTGATCAATTATTAAAAGATTTAGAGAAATTTGCTTTTAAAGGCATACCTGAGGTAAGTCTACATATTCACACATTTTTAAAAAAATATATACTGTTCAAAAGCGCATACATATGTACATATTTAAATTTAATAACAACCTACATTCCAGAAAATTTGAATATAACAAAATCCTTAATTTAATTAATTATGATTTACAGTTATTTATGGGTATAAAATCTTTTATTAATTAAACAATATATGTTATATAAAATTGAAATTTGTTGATTAAGCACAATTAAATTATATTGTTAATTACAAGGCATAAATACTTTCAATCAAAGAATACCTTACAAGAACGGCAACTCCATAGTGAACTAACACTAATTGAAATCACTTAAATTTTGCACCAAGTTTCGTTGCTACAAATTGTAAAAAACTTACCGCGAAAATACTTTAAAAAAAGTATGTACTTAAAATGTAAAGTAATAGGATATTTTACCTTGTAAAAAGGGATAATCAAAAAATCAATTTAAATTTAAAAAGAAAAAATTGTATCAAAGGATATACAAATTTAAAAGTTTTTTTTAAATCATTGATGAATAAATTTTGAATATAAGTTTTGTGGGTTTTTGCCACACACTTTATTTTAAATAAAAATAACAAATGTTTATAATATACAAAACAAGACGATGAAAAAACGTTATGATATACAAACGCGCAAAAAAGGAAGAAGGAAGCCAGTCGCCAGACACTGAAGTAAGTTGCTGCTTGAAAAGAGTCCTTTTGCTCACAGATGGCGCGAGTGCGTGTGCATTCACACACAGAGGGCGCTGCAGTATGTGTGGCGAGTTCGCCACAGTACTCCCCACTTAATAGCTGGACCGGTGGCCTGGTTTGTTAACTGTTGATTGTAACCTGCTACTCTAAAGGATCTTTCACATTAAAGGTTACTTGCTTCTTCGTTTGCGTGAGTTTTCCTTTGTTTACAGGTCTGCAATCTACGTCGACTTCTGCAAACTTGGGTTCGATTACTGCTGGCTCGAAAAAGGCCGGTTTCAATCCGTTTATTGATAAGTTAACCTGCTTACCGCGTACGTCAACCGTATTCTGTCGTTCTGCCCTTACGAATACATGAGACGCATTGCCCAATGCTTTGTAAACGAATATAGCTTTGCTAGAATGATTGGACGTCGGAATTGGTCGTACTTGCTGGATGTGCTCGCGTAGTGTTGCTAGAAATTTTTGTTCGTCTGGAAGCATGCTACTTTCCACAAAAAATTCTCCCGATAGACGTAATGTCGTTCCATATAGCATTTCAGCTGCTGAAGTGTTGATATCTTCTTTATAAGAGGATCGAAGTCCGAGTAAAATTGATGGTAACAATTGTATCCAAGCGTGTTTAGGTCGGGACATAAGTGCTGTTTTTAAAGTGCGATGAAATCGCTCAATTAACCCGTTAGATTCTGGGTGATACGGAGATGTACGTATTCTTTGCGCGCCTAAACGATTTGCTAGCGCCTTGAATAAAGCTGATTCGAACTGAGTTCCTTGATCAGTTGTTATGATTTTCGGGGACCCACATCGCGGTATCCAGTGTGCGTAAAAATTTTCTGTGACTGTATCGGCGGTGATATCTTTCAACTGAACGGCTTCTGGCCATCGTGTAAATCTGCCCATCATGGTTAGTGCATATCTGTAACCATCATATTCGGGAAGTATTATTAAGTCCAAATGTACATGATCGAATCGCTGATCCAATGGACTGAAAGCTTGTGGTGAAAGTTTATTATGCCTGTTTATTTTTGCTTGTTGACAACTTTGGCACGATTGTTCCCAATTCGCTACATCTTTTCGGATTGACGGCCACACGTACTTACTGCATAGTTGCTTTGTCGTTGACTTAGTGCCAGCATGTGTTAAGGAGTGCATTGTGTCAAATGTTTTCTTTCGAAGTGATGATGGAATATATGGTCTGATGATTCCTGTTGATACATCACAAAAGGTTGACACATCGGGTTGTAAAAAAAGTTTTTGTAATTGAAGTGCTGAATCTGAATTTAATAGCTGCTTAAGCTCTTCATCTATTTTCTGATGGTTGCTAATCATCTCGAGATCTATAACCGTAGGCATATTAATTGCATCAATTCTGGATAAACTATCAGCCACTATGTTGTCATTACCATCTATGTATGATATGTTTGTTGTAAACTCTGCTATAAGTTGTCGTAGTTGACGTGGTGACACTTTATCTGACTTTTGTTGGAATGCATAAATGAGCGGTTTGTGATCTGTTTGAATTGTAAAATTTCCATCTTCCAGTAAATGTCTAAATTTTTGACGGCTAAATATATAGCTAGCAACTCTCTGTCGTACGTGCTGTAATTCTTCTGCGCTGTCTTAAGCTTCGAAGAGAAAAACGCAACCGGTCGCTAAATATCACCTTCTTGCTGTTCCAGTACTGCATCAACTGCGTTGCTTGATGCATCCGATGTCAATCGAATTGAACTTAATGGAGACAAAAATGTTAATTTAGGTAACGCGGTTACACTTGTTTTACAGTTTTCAAACGCTGTATCTAACGTAGCATTCCATGTTATAGGCGTGTTGTCGTTCTTTTTTAAATTTTTTAATAGCTCATTTAAGGATGCTTGCAATTTAGCGGCCTGTGGAATGCACTTGCGGTAATAATTTAGGATTCCCAAAAAACGACGAATTTATTTTACTGTCTTTGGCTTCGTGTATACATTAATTACTCATACCTAAAAAAACTTGGTTGTGAAACTCCGAACTCGCATTTGGTGGTGTTTATGATAAGCTTGGCCTTATTTAGTGTTTTTAGTACTGCTTCTACATGTTTCAAATGCTGCTGTTCACTTTCTGAGAATATTAAAATATCGTCAAGGTAGCAGAAGACAAATGGCATTTTCCTAAACAATGAATCCATATATCTTTGTAAGCTTTGTGTAGCGTTTTTAAGACCAAACGGCATGACTACAAATTCAAATAACCCAAGGTGTACACCGCAGGTGTACTTACTGCGGTTTTACATATGTCATCAGCTTGCATCGGTATGTTATAGTACGCTCTGTGTATATCAATCTTTGAAAATAATTTGCTAGCATGTAGTTTTTCCATTACTTGATCTAGGTCTGGTATTGGGTACCGATCTGGTTTCGTTTGCGCATTTAGCTTTCTGAAGTCACCGCAGGCTCTCGAGGTACCTGTTTTCTTTTTGACCAGGTGAATTGGACTCGACCACGGACTGTTTGACGGACGAATAATTCCCTGTTCCAAAAGCGTTGAAAATTCTTCGCGAATTGCTTTTAATTTTTCCGTTGAACGGCGTGACCTTTCATGTACAGGCTGACCGTCAGTGACTATTTGATGACAGACTACAGATGCGTCAGGGAGGTTATAGTTATTTGCACTGCACAAATCAATGTATTTGTTGACGATTGTAAAGAATTTTGAGTTTGGATCCAATGTGTATACCGAATGTATCGATGTGACCAATTACAAAACAATCCTTGAAGCATTTCTTTTACCCAAAATTGTATCCAATCAACCATCGCAGCGTTTACAAACTTCAGATTGGAATCCGCCCAGTAACATCCAATTAGCATTCTATAACATTCTATAAGTCTGACAAAATTGATATGTTGCTTAGAGCAGAATTTTACCGTCAATTCCTAAGTCCTGGTCAAATACAACTTTCAAGGGAACTACCAATTCTACAGAACACTGTGTTTGGCTGGTTCGTATCTGGAAAAATTCAAAATGCTAACACAATGATTGCAACATTTGGGATAGCATCAGAAGATAGTTTAGAAAATGCAATAGAACAACTTTGGAAAGTTGAAGAAGTTGATACTCACTCAAAAGTCTTGTCAATAGCAGAACAACAATGTGAAGCTCAATTCACTCAAACTACATATCAGAATGCCACGGGACAGTTCATCGTACGTCTTCCCTTTATAAATGATAGATTCGCTTTAGGAGATTCGAAAGACATTGCTACAAATAGATTTTTAGCATTAGAGCGTAGACTTTCAAAGGATAGTCACCTCAAACTACAATATGTAGATTTCTTAGATGAATATGAAAAATTGGGACACATGACCGAGATAGATATGGAAAGGATTATGTCACCGCATTATTTTATCCCACACCATTGTGTTCTTAAACCTGACAGTACCACCACTAAGTTACGTGTAGTATTTGATGCAGCATCCAAAACAACATCAGGACAATCTCTCAATGACTTGCTACACATTGGACCAACTGTTCAAAATGAACTACTATCGATTCTGTTACGATTCCGACTTACTCGTTTTGTGTTTACTACAGACATTGAAAAGATGTATCGACAAATACTTGTACATCCAGAAGACAGACAATGTCAGCTTATCGTTTGGAGAAATGAATAGAATCAACCTATAAAATATTTTGAACTCAACACAGTAACATATGGTACTCGATCAGCACCATATCCATCAATCAAATATTTGCAAGTTTTAGGTGATGACAATATGGAAAATTATCCATTAGGTGCATTTGCTCTCAAAGAAAACTTCTATGTAGATGATTGTTTACACAGGGCAGATAGTTTGAGAACATTGTTGGAAACCCAGAGTCAGTTAAACAAAATACTGACAGCAAGTGGTTTTAAATTGCGAAAATGGTGAGCAAATCATCCACGTTTACTACAGGGAATTCCACACGATGACCTAGAAGTCAATTTAGACTTAAAAAACAATAACCATACAACAAAAACTCTTGGATTATCCTGGTGTCCAAAATCTGATAGTTTATGCGTCAAGGTTAAATTGGAACCGGTTTGCAGCACGACGAAGCGCAGCGCAACCTCTAATTTAGCAAGGCTATTTCATCCACTAGGGCTTTTGTCACCAGTTGTGGTGATGGCAAAGATCTTTATTTGAAGATGGATTGGGATGAAAAACTAACAACTGAATTTTTTTTTTTTTTTTTTTTTAATTTTTATTTTCTTTTATTGCGATCTGTCATTCAGAGTAGACAATAAACAATATTTAAAAGAGACTAAATACTTAAAA